AAACAGAACATTTTCTGGCGCTCATCCACTGAGGGGGGTATCAAGTGGCTGCTCTCACTCCCCCACCAGGGTCAACCCTACGTTGCTACAAGTACCAACGGGGGGGTCATAGTTTGCTTAAGTTTGTGCCCCCCCCCCTAGAAAAGGGAGCAGTGAAAATATAGGTGAAAAAGAGGGAAAATGAAGGGAAATATGGGGAAATTTTGCGGTTTCATGATAGTTATATACCCCACTCCCTTCCCGCTCGACGGTGTTTTTTGAGGGAAAAAGTTTTTGTGAAGAGGGGGTCGTATGAAACCTGTTGTGAAGGAGAGGGGGTTTTTGAAAAAATTTTGCAAAATGTACCAACGAGGACCAACCCTGCCTCCCACCCCTCTGGTCTGCCTACGCTCCCCCTGGCGGACAGGTTTCTCGAAGTGCGGGACCCCGTGAGCCAAGGGGAGTGAAGGCAGTCTAGTGGGGTGGGGGTGAGGGCAGCCGCTTGACATTGACACACATCACAATGCCCTCCCCCCTTACCGGATGAGCGCCCATTTTCTTTTGTATCAACATCACACATAATCTGGCAGCAAAAATTAGTGACAAATTTTCAGTGGAAAAGTGTAAAAAAATGCACATAAGGAAATAACGAAATGCACATTGAAATTTATGCATAAAAGCTATGGGTTTTTAAGCAGAGACCTTGCAGTTTTTTTTGCTTGCATTGCAAATTGAGCAAGCTACAAATAAAGGAAGCAAATAGGTATTTGAACCACGTGAAAATACTGAAACTGCCTTGGAATATTAGTACGAATAGGTCTGGGAGGGGAGGCGGATCACCACATTGGCATTAGAGCGCACATACCGCAATTGCCCCATCCTACTGTGGCAGGACAACTCGTCCGAATCACTCAACTATTATATTAGGCTTCAGTAATTGATCGACCTGATAATTTGGGTCTCCAATACCTCGTTGAGTCACAAATATACAAAAAGGGCGGATAGCTTCAGCTGGCCGAATGCCAAGGCTAGAGGAACGGAATAAAATGTATTGCGCGGACGAGTATAGACGCGCAGTACATTTTATTCCGTTCCTCTGGCCTTGGCATTAGGCCAGCTGAAGCTGTTCGCTCTTTTTGTATATTTGTGACTCAACAAGGTATCGGGGACCCAAATCACCAGGTCGATCAATTACTGAAGTCTAATAGTTTAGTGATGCGGACGAGTTGTCCCGCTACAACAGGATGTGCCAAATGCGGCCTGTGCGCTCCAATGCCAATGGGATCGCGCCATTTGACGCACACCCGGTCTGGGAGCAGGTCGGTCCTATCGTTGCTACATTTTGGATTTTTTTACGACCCCCTCCTCCATGGGCGATTTGGTACGACCCCCCTGTGTCTAATTTTTATGAAGACACAATTCATACCAATTTTTTATTCCTTTTATCTCTATCATAAGGTTTCTTTTCACCCTGGAAAAGTATAAAATAATAGAACATTTCAAACTTCACGAGATCAGGACTAATCAAAGTGAAGTACATCCTTCACGAGATCAGGACTAAACAAAATGCGCAGGCTTAGTCCCAGAGACGTTTCTACAGAGTGTCCCCCCCCCAGCCACATTGTGCCCAAAATCCTACTGGTGAGTTTTCATAGGAGATTCAGAGTACGTCATTAAGCATTCTCCGCTGGAGAAAACGGGTGGGTTGTGGCGTCATATTATGGAGAAGTGGGGAAATGATTGAGAATGCCGAGAAGGTAGTGGAAACGCGTGTTGACAGGTTTCGAATGTATTGAATCGCGCGCTGGGTGCTGCAATGGGGCGCGTTTGTTGAATGGGAGCAGGTGTCGAAATGGGAAATCGAGAAGTATAGGAACTTTTCCTTGGAAAATTTCAGGTTTCTCGCAAGACGGAGGTGGATTTTGGATCAGCAAGGGTCATCCTTCTCAAGTGGAGCGGATTTGTTCTTAAACAATCTGAAATAATTAAGTTATTGAGCAGGAAATGAGTTTGCACTACAATTTCCACCTTCCTCTTTTTCGGGCTATAACTTTCTTCATATTCGATCTTTTGTGTCGGAGTTATTTGATAAAAAATTCAAATCATTCTCTCTCCGCATAACCTGAGACCGGCACGCAGAAGTTATTCAGTTTCTCTCTCCAATCATATCTGAAAATTCATCGAAAGCTAATTTAGTAAAAATTTAACACGTTGGAACTTTTTTCTGTGCAAACGCGACTTTTCAATATTTAAACGACCATAACTTCCTTCAAACTCATTTATTTGGGAAGCTGAACCCGGTATGAGAAACTACAGGATTCAAGCTTTCTAAAAATTACCCGAACGTTCTTAAAAGGTGAGTAATTTAAAAATTAGTTCCGTTGCTACATTTTAGGGGGGTTCGCGGAACTATTTTTCTGAAACCGCGACTTTTCAACCTTCAAACGACCATAACTTCCTTCAAACTCATTCATTTGGGAAGCTGAACCGGTTTGAGAAACTACAGGATTCAAGCTTTTCAAAAAGTACCCAAACGGTTCTTAAAAGTGAGTAATTCAAAAATTAGTCCCGTTGCTACATTTTTTGAGGGGCATTCTCCGAGCCATTCTCTTAAGAAAGCGGTTTTTTTAGGTTTCACTGGCCGCAACGTCCAGGGAAAAGATATCGTGCTGACCATAGGATGTGTTAGAATGCTTTGTGCATGCGCTTGCACTGATTTCCCCCTGCCTTGGTGTGCGCCACGCCTCGGTCGCACTCCTGATTCGCTGACTCATTTGAAAGCTCATTCAGAAGGAAGCGGCTTACAGATGCTCTAGCATCAATTATCTTACGTAAACGTAATGTGGTGACTATTGTCCATGTTGTCTTAGGCAATACTCCAGCTACACTTTAGTTTCAAATGTGGTTTCGTGGGTGGACCCATGTCATGGTGGGAGCACTTTTTGAACGATGCTACATGTCTTGCAGCTGCTGTTTCTGCAAGTCTTCCTTTCTCATGCTCTTCCTGAAACATGGTTATGATCAGTAGGGAGATTACCACAAATCCCACTGCCGGCCACCGAGAGAGTACGACCCCCCCCCTCCGGGTCCATCCAAGTACGACCCCCCGTTGCTACTTGTAGCAACATAGGGTTGACCCTGGCTTGGGGTGAATAAAGGCACTGATAACGATGGATTGTGAGCGGTACGGTATTGACGACGTTACTCACCGTCAGTGGTGGAAAGGTGTCAAGAGTCGGTATCAACAAACCCTCAGCGCGCTGAGTGGTCGAGTCCAACCACGTACGAAAGATTCGTGAGAAATCTGGAATGCTCAAACAGTAGAGGTCCAAAGTTTGGAAACTTTTGTTTTTTACCTAGCGCGGTCAATAGACAACGAAATTGTTACAGACACATATTATAAATACCAAGGTAGAATACGATCTGAAAAATCGCAAATCGCAATGGAAGAATACGATTTTTTATAAGAAGCGGCGCGTCAAAAGTTTGGAAACTTCTCAATTCCGAAGCGAATTCACAACAGTAGCTCTTAAATCCACATGAGGAATTATCAATTTGTTGAGTAGATCGAAACTTCTAGCTAGCATCGTTTTTATTGTCATTGAATTGATTTAAATTATTTAGACTTTTGAGTGAAGCCTACATTTTGTGAACTGAATCAAATTGCTTGGTAGGATTCTTCGCTGGAATGTGGATTGTACGACATGCCAGCTCTTTTTTTGGGGTGCAGAACTCAGTTAGACTTAGATCTTGACTTGGTCTCTTCACAACAGCTTTTTCTCCTGAGTTTGGAAGGCGGCCAGGAGGAGGTAGGCCCGCATCGGATCAATGTTGTAATAAAACCCATATTTTTTGGTTAGTTCTGACTATCGAAGAGAGCATTGTATTTCTCAGACCATCCTTGTATTTAGCCCAACCCACATTTCGCTGGATACTAGAACTGGGGAATCGCCGAATGGTCGGACACATCTTCATCCATGACATACTTCCACTATTTCTGACTGTTGGAATCTTATACTCAAAATGAGGTTTCCATTTGACAAAACACTTCACAGGGTCCACAACATCATTTCTAGGAAGATAGAAATCTCATTCGTCGCTGAGGACAAAGTTTTACCTCTCGCCTTCGGTCCATGTTAGCCGTTAGTGTGCGGAAGCCAGTTGGGCCATCCTGCTCTTGAAGCCCAACAATGGCTTCTTGTTGGGACATCATCCGTAATATTCGCAGGTCCCGCCGATGTTGACCTGCACTTGGACTTCCATTTGACCGGACCCAAAACCCGAAAAAGTAGTTTCTTGGTTGGGGATGTCGTTTAGACGGGACATGCCAACCGCCCCTCGAGGTCCTTAAGAAGGGCAAAATCTCTTGTGAGGATGTTTTTGTGAATGTCATTCTTCTTATGCTTGCTTGACTCCAACAACGCTAGAAACTTTGGATAATAATGCTTCCGTAGAGTTTTAACTGAAGAGAAACAATTTCAATCTCGTATTCTAGACTGTAGGGTTTAAAAAACCTTTCCTATGGAAGATGATGTTTCCTTTTCACATGGATTCATTTCAAAAGTACATAACACTTGATAACTACGCTCAAATTTACAGGAATAGTGGGATTTTAATGGTGAGGAAAACAAAAAGTTTCCAAGCTTTTGACGCGGGATTTCCCTGAAAAATCCGTATCCAAAGTGGTTTCTGATTTCAGGAAATTATAATGCCTATCGTATTCTAGATTTGGATTTGTATATACTAAAAAAATTTGAGACAATTTCGTTGTCTATTGGCTTTGCTAGATAAAAAATGAAAAGTTTCCAAACTTTTGACCGCCACTGCATCTTTTCAGCTAGTCAGGCGACTTTTCTTATATCCTCCTGTTTCGCTGATTTTGTATCTGGAATGATTTTTTGAATCTCGAGTTTGATTCTTCCACTTGTCGTGACTTGCATTTTCAGGTTCTTTCGCCGTACAGGTTGATCTATCATTCCATTCTTGACCCATTGTTCAACAATATTCTTCCGTTCATCTGGATGAGTCTGTTTTCATTGATGACATTGTTCGAAATACTTCGAAGTCGTCATCTGGTTCAACATCGGCTCGGAATGTTCTTTTCCAAGGCTACTGGGTTCACGTGAGTCACCTTTTCGTGCGTAGTAATGTGATGGGCACCTAAATCCATTTCGAAAAGATATATAAAAATATTTACCTGAAAATCAAAAAAATAACCTATACTACAAAATCTGTCACTGTTAGTCCCTCTACCGGGTAAGGTAGAGCTCTTTGGGAATATTGTGCCGTTCACATGCTCGAAGGATTAGGACTTAGGGCCTCGCCGGTGCTACCGATGGAGGCCTCCACGAGAAGATCGAAG